GTTTATTGAAATAAAAATAACGTTAACAATAAAACTTTTTTGTTCAAGCTAGTTGCTAAACATAAATTTTATTATAAAAAAATAACAAAAAACACACCAGTTATTATAGTTAACTTAAATGGAAACCATAAAAACAAACATTTCATTACTTGAAATAAAGTTGTTAACTGAAATAGAATAAAACATAACTTAAAAATTGCACATACTTATATTAAAAAAAATATATAAAAAACAATAACTAATATAAATGCAAACACAAAATTACTACTTTAAAATCTAAATGAAAACTGAAAATAGAAAAAATATAAACTAATTCAAAATATTAAAAACTATAAATGTATGTCAATGATGCTAAAGCAACACTGAAACAAAAAAGTAATTTTTACATTAAAACAAAAACTAAAAATATAATAAAATAATTCAAAATATGAATAAAAACTATACTAGTATCTTAAAGATACTAAAACAACACCACTATAAACCCAAGTGCCACTCAGAAAACATCAGCCGTGTGTGTGAGTGTGTTTCTGTATCTGTTGTGTGTTACAGTGAATGCAGATCCTCAGCATCACCGCTGCGATGAAGCCACTCAGACGGAGCAAAAACAAACACGCAAGCTTACTGTGAAACTCCTCCTGTCTCCAGCGTTCTCGCTCTTTCTCTCGCTATTTCTCTCTTCAGGCTGCTCAGAAACAGCTGCACTGAGTGTGTGGAGAGTACAGTGAGTGTGAGAGCGGGCAATCAGAATGTGTGTGTTTCCCTTGTGTTTACTATGGTGATGGGCCATGTGTTTAAGAGCCGATTCCTAATGGAGGAGAGTTTGTGACGTGCGATAAGTCTGGAATCAAATGCAATGCTAACAGCAATCATCAGCTAACAGACGTCAAACAGAACCGTAATGATTTTGCCGAATAGGATGTGATGCTGTTCCTTGAGAGCTGTTCATGTCAAAAAATCCTAATCCTAAAGAGATAGTTCACCCAAAAATAAAAATCCTGTCATCATTTATTCACCTTCAAGTCTTTCCAAACATGTATGAATGTTTTTATTCTGTTGAACACAAAAGAAGGTATTCTGAAGAATGTTGTATACCAGACAGTTGACGGTAGCCATTGACTTCCATAGTATGGAAAACAAAACTGTGGAAGTTAAAGGGGTCATGAACTGCCTTTCTGTACAGTTTTGTACTGTTCACTGAGGTCCACTTATAATGTTATCAATATTTTTACATCAAAAAACATAATTTAATAATTATGTATTAAGTAATAAGCTATTTTTTTTGTCTTGTTTTTAATGAGAAAACTCTGTTTGAATAGGTGTGAAGGATTGTAGACTCGGAAGTAAACGCCCACTGCTATGATTGGCTAACACTTGTGTATGTTTGAATGTTGGGATCAGAAGGAAGGCAATGCAAAGACAGTTTTTGGCACTGCACAGCATCTTGTTGTCTTCAGAGCATCTTTATTGTTTGGTTTCTGCATAGACCTGCATTTGCCTCCCTCGTTATTTACAATACATGTGCGAATCTGTGGGCGGGGCTAAACAGGAAGCGCTGTAGAATCGGTGGGTGGGGCTAAACAGTCATTGATGTAGAATCGGTGGGCGGGGCTAAACAGGCAGCGCTGTAGAATCGGTGGGCAGGGCTAAACAGGCAGTGCTGTAGAATCGGTGGGCGGGGCTAAACGAGCAGTGTTGTAGAATCGGTGGGTGGGGCTAAACGAGCAATGCTATAGAATCGGTGGGCGGGGCTAAACGAGCAATGCTATAGACTGGGG